ATGAGTGAGAGAGAGAGAGAGAGCAAGAGGAGAGAAAGATAGACAGGAGAGACAGCGAGACAGACAGGTAAGCGGAGTGAGTTCTGCCTCTTCCCCTTCTGGGTAACTGGGAGTGACCTGGTGGCAGGCCGGCCAATCACAGGAGGTTTCAGACTGGTTTTAGACCAATCAGATCACTTCAGTGAGAGGCCTCGGCCTGTTGCTGCAGTTTAACGGCAGTACAGTCCAATCACAACAGCATGGTGACGGGTTTCTCCAGGAACTTGCGGAACTCTGCGAGCCACTGCGCGCCGACCGCACCGTCCACCACCCGGTGGTCGCAGCTCAGTGTCACCGACATCATGCTGGCTACGTCAAACCTGCAAAACACACACTGAATCAGACTGGATTTTTTTTTTGTGGCATGTCCACCTTGATACAGTATTTTAACTCACTGACCCTTTCTCATTATCAGCTGGCATCAGCCGTTTCTCTGAGCCACCGACGGCGAGGATACAGGCCTGAGGAGGGTTGATAATTGCTGAGAAGTTCTTGACGCCAAACATTCCCAAATTAGAGATTGTGAATGTACCTCCCTGGTGGGGGAAAAAAAAAACAAACACACATTGAAGAGGACCGTTTCAATTTGCTAGATCACTAGAGACAGGATCAGATCATGTGTTGTACCTGGAACTCATGTGGCTGCAGTTTGCCCTCTCTCGCTTTGGCAGCAAGAGCCGACACATCAGAGCTGATGGCTGCCAGTCCTTTGGTGTGGGCGTTAAACACTATGGGCGTGATGAGGCCACTGGCTGTGCTCACTGCTACACTCAGGTCCACCACGTGATTCCTGGAAAATAACTAAATAAGTCAATACTGATGACAGCACAGAAATTTGGTCAACGTGACAATGTTCCTAAACTGAGATGAGATGAAAAAATGTCTGTGGTTTGAGAGCCCTCTACTGGCATAAGAGTGCAGCTACACTTTAAGAGACCAATATCAGTATTATTCTAATCTACCAATACCGCTATTTTGTCTTTGGCAACGCCTTCATTGTTGGTATTCCTTTCTTTAAGATGACTAAACAATTCTAATGTGTTTGTACAGTACAGTCACTTGGAAGCAAACTTCCTCACATTTAAACTTAAGAGAAATGTTTTTGTAGAAGATCTACGAACCAAGTGAACTCTCCCCATTTACTGTATATAACCACATGTATGTGGATATGCCTGTTTGTGTGTGTCTGCTCACTGGCGAATGACTGTGTCCATCCAAGAGGAGTTGCACTCAGGAACCTTGAGGCAAGCCAGAGCGCTGGCTTTGATGATGAAGTCATTCACACTGAGCTTGATATTCTGGGCTTTCACTTCCTGCAGAGGGAAGGCGAGGTCGTTTAAAAAAAAACACCACATACACAGGAAATAATTATCTTTGTTCAAAGGTTTCCTGTCTTTCATTCTTCTACACGTCTATTTACAAGAAAAAAAACTCACAGCATTAAGTTCTGTCCGAAGCTCAAGCACTTGGTCCATGTTGACATCTACAGACAGATAATAGTGGGGGATGGTTTGCTTGGACTGCATCAACCTCTGAGCGATCACCTGCAGGAGACACGCATATATGCACTTCAGCTTTGATCCATAATTCATCACAGACAGCCGAGTCTGTGTTGATAAATGTGTGAGTGCCTGTCTTCAGGGAAACATGTGGAAGCACAAGTTAGAGATAACAGAGTCACACTGTGAAAAACCCCTCAGGACTTTTCTCTCTCGGCGTTCAATACATCAGAACCAAACCCTGCATAGAGGGAGCGTGTCATGAATTACACCTGACTGCAACCAGAGGGGTTTGAGCAGGAGAGGAAGTCTTCATTGAACACAATGGTACACAAAAAGTCAGGTGTGTGTTTGCGCTCACCTTGCGGATGTTGCTGATAGGGATGTCTGTGAAGGTCCCAGCTGGTGCAGCAGGAACTGCAGCAGGTGCAGGAGCAGCTGGAGCTGCGGCTGGTGTGGGAGCAGCAGCTACGGCCTGCCAACAGAAATTATTTCATTTGCATGTAAAACAGATTACAACAAAAACTTGAGGGACATACAGTATGACAGCAACATTATGAGAGTGTTCACAAGTACGGAAAAAAATCTAATCAGGATTATTTTGCCAGGTTGGAAGACCAAAACCTTTTAGCTTACTGTAACATCTGGACACATAATGTTACAAAGTTTTTTTAAACAAAAATCAAGATTCTTCAAATTGCTCATTTTGTCCAACCAACAGTAAAAAGTTCCATAATATTAAACAGAACACAAAAAAAAAGTAGCAGTCTTGCATTGTATAAGCTAGAAAGAGACATTTTTATATTAAACAAATCAATTAAAGTTGTTATATATGACTGCACAGGATTAAACAGAAACGTGTGAGCTTCACTTACAGGTGCAGCCTTTGGTGGAACAAAGCTGTCTATATCTTTCCTGGTGATGCGTCCATCAGGACCGGAGCCTGAACAGAAAACAGCTCAATGTATATACAGTACATACATAGTTTATTATGGCTTTGTCTAGCTTTGTATTCACTGTTCTGTAATACTCTAACAACATAGATCTGACTACCTGCCTCTTGGTTACTTACCGCTGACCTGTGCCAGGTCAATTCCTTTATCAGCTGCGAGTTTCTTGGCGAGTGGGCTGGCAAACACACGGCCCTTCCTGGATGCAGCAGGCGCAGCGGCTGCAGGAGCAGAACTGGGTGCTGCAGCAACCGGAGCTGCAGTCTGGAAAATACAAATCACAAATCATGTCATACCTGTGCAGTGCAAGGCCACATTTTTTTTGTGTTTTTTTAGTTTTAGTTTTTGTGAGTATTTGGGTAGTATTCACTTATATTTGAAAGTAAAATGTGTGTCTCACTGGTGCTGGAGCTGGAGGTGGTGTGGAAACATCTGCCACTCCAGTCTCTACATAATCCTTGAAGGCAGCAATGTCACTTTCTTTCTCCACAATGATGCAGAGCGGTGTCCCCAGGGGCACATCCCGAGTCCCTTCTGCCACCATGATTTTGGCCAAATATCCTTCTTCCTGCACCTCAAAGCCTACACACAAACACATGAAAGGGACATGTTGAGCAAGACAGTTGTAACAGTTGATCCATATAAAGGGATATTTAAGGTTCACCAAATATGATCATATGAGTTCAAATATGTCAGGACTGAGGTGTCAGAGTCAGTTTGGGTTTACCAATGGTCGCCTTGTCAGTCTCGATCTCGGCCAGCAGATCTCCTTCACTCAGCTTCTCTCCGACCTTCTTCTCCCAGCGCTGCACTGTTCCCATCGTCATGGTGGGAGAGAGGGCAGGAAGTGTGATCTGTAAAATACATGAGAAACAGAAACATGAGCGACAGAAGTCAAGGCAGGGGGGCTGTACTCTCTATAGCTTCCCGTCTGACCACTTGGTACTCTCTGCAACAATGGCAATCTAGACAGCTGGACCTGACATGTCCTGAGAGCTTCAGGTAGACACGTGAAATAGAGCGCGAAAAAAAATCTTCCAAACAGAAACAACCTCAAAACAAATGCAAATATTTCCACTTTTTGCAAGCAACTTGTCTTTTTCCTGTTCAGATCACTGACTCACCGTAAGAACCATAAGAAAGTAAATGCTGTTTTGAAATGACAAAAATATGAAATTGCTATTGGAGAGCAGAAGTTTTATTTGATTTGCTTTCTTAAAACTTACAAAAGCTAAAGAAATCAGTGCCCATTAGGACCGTGCCATATGATAATATATCGTGAAAAATGTCCATTTTTTCATATTATGCTTGACTGTTTACTTCATTGAGTCATGAATCACAATCTTTATGGCAATATTTTGTTCCATTTGGACACCGCTTTGCGTTATTCCGTACAGCACGGATGTAGGCAGAAAATATGCATGAAGGCAACTCAAACAAACATTGAGGAGAGTGAAAGTGACACAAGGACCCCTCTCCAGGAGCTCGTACCTGAGAGAGGGATTACTTCTGTCGCAGTTCGGGTATGAAAAGCCTGACACACTTTCATACTTACAAAACTTGAAAAGTACGTACGCAAAGACAAATCCACAATGTATAAAACCAGGTCGTACGCCAGGTCCTGCACACCTTTCCTTTATACATCCCAATCAATGTGAAATTGACCGCACGTGCACCAGCCACTTAGCCCGCCTGCCCTGGTCTGATATCAAGGTAGATGTCAAAAGACGAGCGACTGCACATCAGCAGAGTGCTACAGGTGTGGGCTCAGGAAAGCCAAAACTGACGCTACATGAAAGAAGGTTCGCTGCAATTACAAACCCTCATCTCTGGCCTCCTGCCCGCATGTAAGAGCGACTCAGACATTTATGTTACTCCTAGCTGGCAGAGGCACACCAAGAGATGGCTTTATGTGCCTCGCCTCCTGTGCGTCAAAGATGTCTGTGTGCCTCAGCTAATGTCAGACTGCGTTAACATCTCTGTGTCCCATAAAGAGAGAAAATTGCCGTTTTCCCTGCTGATCTTGATGTTAGCGCAGTAAGTGAGGCATTTCATCTGTGGGAAATTAGCCGGAGGGCACACAATACAGCGATATAGAAGGTTTCTGTATCTGTTTCCTAAGTGGATTTTTTCATTCAGGACAAGGTATGGATGGAGGGAAACACAGCATTTTCCTCCTGTTTGGATTTTGGTGTTTCTGATGTTGAACATTATTTACAGAAGTGATCAAACTGTCATGGTGTATCAATGGACATAATTATGTTTTTTCATAAACTCACAAAACTACATACCTTACAAATGATGGCGCAGACGAGTCCCCATTAAAGACTCGAACACCACTGACCTCTTTTACCATCTAATGTCAGAATAATGTCAAACAGAAAGGTCTCTTCGAATGACAGCCACAAAAGTAATTAATACTTACACGTTAATATTTTATATTTTGTTACATGCTCAATTGAAAATGTGCAATGTGCAATAACCAAATATGAGTTCGTATTTGTTATTTTTCAAGTATATAATTAGCTAAAAATAGAAATAGAAATAGGCCTTTATGGCAATTTTATATAACATATTTATTACATTTACAGAAAATGTGCTACATTCTGATATACATTATTGTCTGGATATGGAATTACCTATATCAGGGTATGAGATTTGGGTCATACTGCACAGCCAAACATCCAACCTACTTTCTGAATTATTCCACAGAGACAATGGCTTAATGACACTAACATGTAAAATGTAGTTTTAGAGACAGGACAGCACGAGATCATGGTTGACATTCTCTTGTAATTCAATATAAAGCCTCAAAAATCACATGTAATAATAAATGCACAAAACACATCAAATCATGTTTTGCCTCATCAAATCTATCAGTACTATGTGCAGAATTGTGATGTGACTATTATATTTGATGTATATTTAAAATGAGACACTCCAATGTGTTGCTTTCAGCTTGTTGATCTCTCTACACATAGTGGTTTAAAATTTTAGAAATTTAGGCGACTTGCCACCAAGACTGATGGAAAAGAGAGAAAACCGCACACAACTCCATTCTGCTGGAGGACGGGACACTGTGGCCGTAAACATCCTCTACACTAGTTGACTTCACACCTGCATGTGTTTTTGCTTACGTAAGAACACGCCTACCTTCAAATGTGTGGGGTAAGAGCTGCCCGGGGCAGCAGGAGGAGCAGCGGCAGCAGGAGGAGGAGGAGGAGGAGCGGAGGCAACAGGTGAGGGACCGGCTGCTTTAAGTGATTCCAACGTTACGTCCTTAAAGGCTGGGATGAGATCGGGGCTGCAGGGGAACATATACACACAGATATTAGACACACAGCAAGCACAACTACATCTAGACTAAAGGACCAGGATCTGGGTAACATGTTGAAAGCTACTTTGGTTCTGGAAGAAAAATGAGTATGAAAAAGTAGGAAAAGGACATTTAACACAGAGCAATATTGAAATTACACACAGTGAAGAAAAATCAGCTGTCATGCTAAGTGTGATCTAATATTTAGCTCATATTCATCACTGTAACAGCAACAATTGTTTTAGGAGAGCACTATTGCAAAACTAACTTGAATCAGACACCTATTTTACTCTGGAACTCTTCGTATAGTGAGGCACACCTTGTTCCTCAGCCTGTGTTTTACATTGTCAAAGCACAGACACTTACCTGTCAACTGTGATGCAGATTACTGCTCCGATGGTGACATCTCTGGTGCCTTCAGGAACCAGGATCTTTGCCATATAGCACTCCTCCAGCATCTCAAAACCGACAGTCGCTTTGTCCGTCTCCACCTACAAAGACAGACGCATTTAAAAATGTGTACAGTGAAGATTTCCTACAATAATACAGGAACACACACACAGCTCCTAACCTCAGCTATAAGGTCACCCTCGCTGATTTTTTCTCCCTCCTTCTTCTCCCAGCGAGCGATCGTTCCTGTCTGCATGGTGGGCGACAGTGCGGGAAGCTCCACCTGACGGACAGAAAACAAATTGAGAAAGTGCCATATTTAGCCTGGTGGCTGTCAACATCAAAGGAATAGACATTTAAGAATACTGAAAGAGCTCCATGGTCACTTTATGGCACTGCAAATACTGGAGACTGGCCAGGTGTTGTAACTGCAGTTGCTACATCATCATCACCTCATTCCCTTGCTCAATAAATGACCCACATACAGCTGCGTTTCACCACATCTGTGATGTCTTACAGAAGTTTTCAAGGTCATGCAACATCTGATAGCAGATATACACAAGACAGACATAAAAGGCTAGGAGAGGGGTTCCCATACAGATCTAATATGTATTTTGAGCATTGCACTGAGAGACAAAAGTGTTCATCAATGGCAAACTCAATATATCCACACTGACTATAACAGCAGCACAAGTCGCTCGTGGAAATAACACCTGATGAATTTCATAAATATGAAATACAGAAAAGAAGAATTCTAATTTTGCCAGATGTAGAGTGCTGAAATGTCTACATGCACATCAGAGTTAGAGGATTGTCATTTCTCTTCGCTGCCAGCTGTTTTGAGTCTGTCCTGTTTGCTGCATGCTGGTGTGCCTCATACTGACAACACACATCTGGATTTGGGTCCAATTTAGTGAATCTGTCTATTACCTTCAGGTGTTTGTGTTTGCCTGTGCCTCCAAAGACACTGAATAATGTAAAAGACTTAGCACCCATAGTGTTTGGGGACACTGTAATGTATAACTAAAAGACTGTAATTCATGTAAAATAAACTATTCAAATAGCAAAATGAACGTTTTGGTGCTCTGATTTAAAGCAGTGACTGCAGGTTCGACTTAATGACTTAATGATAAAACCTAATGCAACAGCTGGATTAAGGCAGTGAGGAGTGACAGCCTGCTGGGTATATCACAGCGCTTTGTAAGGCAAGCTGGGGAGGTCATGCTAGCTGTACCGTCGGTGCTATAGCAACCTCACACCGGGTCCGGTAACGTTACCTTCTGGTGCGGCGGCAGGCTGTAGAAACGGGGGCTCTGACAGCTGCCTGTGAGCGGGGGACACCGCAGCACGGTCCCTCTGTGGCTGAGGCCGGAGCTCAAACGCACTGCCCGGGACCCCGCTCCGCAGTGCAGCCGCCTCAGACAGCCGGTTCCGGGCACGGAGCGGGAGGCGAGCGCAGCAGGCCCGGTGGGGAGGACACGGGGACCGGGGAGGACACGGGGACCGGGGAGCCCGGCGGTCGGCCGGAGCCGCAGGATGAGACGAAGCATTTCGAAGCGGTGGAAACACTACACGGAGCTGCTGAATAATGGATTTGTCTCACACCGGCATCAGAGACAGGTTGGGAACGAATGTCTCCTCACTTTCTAATGACCTCCTCCAGTCCAAAACACAACGCTTTACGGCTCTCCTCCTTGCCCTGCCGTAGCTGAGGAACAGGTGTCGCAAACATAGGTCGTTAAAAGTTAAACCAGCGAAAACCGAATAAACAGCACTGTGAATAAAACTAAAAACATAAGCAAGGTTAATGAAATAAAAAGTGTAAAAAAAAAAAGACATTTACAAGTCTGCGATGGTACAAACTATAAAACTTATTCAAGAGCTGCAAGGTTGTGTTTTACTGCAATTCCACCAGCGACCACACGGTGGCAGTAAAATATTGGACTGCGGCTGCCTGTAGTTAACTAATACACCCAAACATATTCGCCAGTGTTTTCAAAGAATGAATAAAGGTGTTCCCCGTGGCAAGTTTTACTGGAGGTCCCAAATAGAGGACATAAACTGGAGATGAACTTGGCTTCTATTTATTTATTTATTTTAATTATTATTTATTTAAATTTGTACTCTATCTTTGATTTATTTATTATGTCACCAATGTGCTGTTTGTTATTGTATACCTTGTAGTTTTGTACATTTAAATTGTTCAATAAAAAAAATAAAAACTAATACACCCTATTCATTCACCCCTTAAAACCCAGCTAGTCAGTCAATCAACAACATGAATTTTTAAAGATATATATAAATATGAGCTAACAAGAACTGTCTATGATGTCAATGTATCAGTAAACGATAGTTCCCCATTGTCTCCCAACCACCATAAAAACTGGAACAATGACATCTTTTTAAAAACAAAAAAGGATTTATTTCACATTCAACAAAGGCCATGTTTATTTCTTTAAACAGACAGTATCCATATTTTGTAAAACTTTGTGTAAACAAAACAAATTCTAAATAACCATCTCACCAGCAAATTGTACATTTTACAATAACAGGCAGTTATGGCATTCAAATGGGTTTCAGTTAAAATTATACTGATGCATATTTCTGTTGGCTTGTAGGAGGCGTACACACTGATCCCAAATGGGAAGAGACAGAAGCAGAGTGAACGAAAATGTGTGTGATCTAGTTTCGGTCTATCTGAAGAGAGCTGAGCATTTCACTGCATCAAGTAGAACCACTGTTCTGGCATTTATGTGTCAAAGGTCCATCACCTCTCTCTCCCTCTCTCTCACACACACACACACACACACACACACACACACATACATACATACATACACCATAAATAATGGGATAATCCATTGTTTCAGGACCAAATCTCTATTAAATCTCTGATGTTCAAATGCACATCCACAGCATCTTTTGAACAGGACCAGAAGTGTTCTCACCTCATTAGAATCTCTCTTTAAACAAATCAGAGACATGAATTTACAAAAACAATTTAAGGACATGGTGAAAATATTTTACACAAGTGTACAAAACGATTTCATAACGTAAACAAAATAACAGTGCTGTTCATCTGCATTTCTACACAAAAAAAGTTCCAGCACCATTTCTATTCACTGACAGCAGTTCAGTTTGAGCATGCGTGCTGGTGTGCTACAGACATTTAAAACCCACATCTGGATTTGGGTCCTATTTAGTGAAACTTAATAGTCTGAAATACATTCAGATGTGTTTTTTTTTTTTTTTGCAATAGACTTTTCTGTTCACCCTCTTTCTTTTCACTGTTATCTGTTATATGTAATCAATACAAAACATAGTAATAGTATTAGAAGCTGGTATCTGCTCAGTGTATTTGTCAGCAGTAGGTTTTATTTTCCTTGTAACATTATAAAAGTGGTATTTTTTTAACGTTTTTTTCTAACCTCCTATTTCTTGTTATGATAGATAATACTGTATATTCACTTCACAGTCACAATTAAGACTGAAATGTACCGGGGCTAAAGAACAATGGACAGTACATATTTCTAACACGTAATCTGGTTGGAATGAAAAGTGATATTGGGCAGTTAAAAGTGACCTTTTTCCAATTCCTCAATACAAACCAGAAGTAAACTACAGATGAAACAACACTAACTTGGTTTTAAAAACAGTAATGTTACAATAATGTTACTGTCTAGTCAAGTTTTGATACTACAGTTTCAGCTTTATGATATACTAAGTTTCAGTTTCCAGAGCGAGTAGGACATATCAGTGTGGTTTAGTACCAGCTGACCAACCCAAATCTCTTGCTGACATGAATCTCAAAAAGTGTCCACTTGTAACTCTGTCAACAGTTGTCTGAATGAGCCTCCGGGATCAGAGCAACCAGAAGCAAAAGCAAGAAGAGATATGGCCTCTCAGCTTGAACCTACAATGGCCTGAGACAGAAAAGAGAAAGCGTTGCTGACCACTGAAAGTCTGGAAAATAAAGAGAGAGTTGCAGAATTACCATGTTGTTACCTTTCCTCACCACAGTCCTCTTCTACCCAGGCCACTATTTTCCCTTCCCAGCCTGGAATGATTGCTCCATCCAAGAATACCTGCACACAGACATAAGGACATATTATATGTGTGACTACTCTGCTTTTATCTTACCTACACTCAAGTGGCATTTGTATGTTGGAGTGTATTTTTGCACAGGTTAAGTGCCATGGGTTTTTTATTGTGACCAGTGTGCACTAAGTTTGCTATTACTGTCCTATTGTCTATTTAAAGGTCAGCTTTCTCTTACCTCTTCTTTCACAGTGCCAAACTCAGGGTCCAGGGCCTTGAAGTGGTACCTGTAGTTTCCCTCTCGATCCACAGCTGCCTTAACATCCTTGAGAGTCACCTCACCCAGCCTGTACGATGTGTACAACGAGACACACTCATCTTGACATCTTTTTTTCTACCTGTGGCCTAAATGTATGTGTTACAGGATTAGGATTATCAACATTGTTCAGGTGAATTTAGCTAAAGAAAACAAAAAAAAATATTTCAGAAAGAAAATACCTCAATATACACACACACACACTAACCTTTTCGGTATATTGATCATGGAAGGCGTTGGAGATTTTCCAGTAAAATAAAGGATTTTAGTGGATGCAGAAGAACCACTGTGGGACTGACAAACCTCTGTAATGAACAGCAGAAATACAGTTAGTAAAAGCATAAATACTGTATTACATGTGTATGTGCATGTGTATTTGAGAGGGTTAATGTTGGAACAACTTACTTGTACAAGGCCAGGTGTCAGAGTCTGTGTGTTGATCTTTGCGTCTTGGAGATTTCCCCCTTCCCTGCAGTATTTGGATAAATGTTGACAGGCCCTCATCATTTTAAAGCTCTACATTCTGTCAAAAGTAACCATTTCTAAGAAGATTTATTAGTATAAATCAATAATATATGAATAAATATACTAATTTATACTATATTCTTTCATTGGTCATCACTCATCAATCAATTACACAGTCAAATCTGATCTTAAAGTGGCCATCAGCTGATTATTTAACAATTCAATCTCTGTCATAGCTCTGAAGATGGATCAGTTCATGTGACACCACATGACTTTGACATTAAAATTGCTCTTTTTTTATTCACTTTGAAGCAAAAACAAACAAAATCAGTTTCTCAGTTGGGTTATATTTGTACCCTGTGTGTATGCAGAACGTGCAGTCTGTCGATGAGTGACACTATGCCCTGCTCCAGGGTGTCCAGTGTATGGTGCTGTGGGTCATGATCTCTGAAGTTGTTCCTCAAACTTCTAAGTGCATCTCTGAGCAGCTGGACTTCCTCTGCCTGCTAAAAGAGCACAAACACAGAGAACCATGTCAAACACAAAAAGCTAATTTTATAGAACAACTGTGTGCTTGTTTAAAGTCTTACAGTGCTATTATTTCTGTATTATCAGCATATTCTATCCCATGTTATTTCTTTAACTTACTATAATTAGAGTACAAAGTACAGTATAGCTGTGTGGAGCTTTGTAGGCACCTTAACATAAAGAATATAAATAGACCCACTGACTGAACAGCCTTATCAATAGAGACAATACTTACGCCTGACATAGAGGGAGCTGGATTTCCAGAGTAAGCAAATCCATTGTTTTCTGTGCCGGCAGGAATCTAAAAAAAGCAACAAAAAAAGTGTGTAGTGTACATGTGAATTCATGGCTGCCTGGTGCAGATGAACATGAAACCTAAAACTCAACTGTTTATTAAGATTTTAGTGCAGAAAGAGTCAGTAAAGAAACAGTACTACCTGCATGCTGTTTTTATGCTCCAACTCTCTTTGCAATTCACTCTGCCAAACAGACAAACCAACATCACACACCAGTATAGACCTGCTAGATCCTAAATCTTAAACATATATATATATATCTAGTCCATGCCTCAGATTATTAAAGTGACTAGTTTATTGAATAAGTGACAGAGGAAGTAAGTTTACACTTCTGTTTTAGGCATATTCTCTTGCATAAAAGTAAGTTTTAGTATTGATTTGCTGATAAAACCTCAAGTAAAAAAAACTACAAAGACTGTGAAGGGTATTTTAAAAGTGAATTAAAGGTTAACTTTTGGTCCGACATTTTCACACATAGCACTGAGCTGGACTGCCCATTTTGAGCCCATTATTGTTTAACTTCCTTCCAAAAGTGGCCAACATACCTGCTTTTTTTGGCTTTCTTCAAGCTTGTGTTTTAGTTGCTGCAGTAGTCTGTCCTTCTGTCCGATCTCCTTCTGCACAAACCCAACCAAAGAGAACGGGCAGAGTTCATTATTTTGTACAAACTCGACGAACAGTTGTGTAACATAAAGCTAGGATGACTAAACCATTAGACCATTTAAAGAGAGGGACTGGAGTGCTTCACCTTGCATTCGCCCCACAGCCTGTTACATTCCTCCAGCTTCCATTGCAGCTCTGCCTATAACACATTGTCATAGTGGAGGGGAATTTGCAACACACACTTAACATATACAGCAGCTAATGAAAACTGTACACATTAGGTTTTTACACTTTACATTCACTTTAATAAAAACAAACTTGTATTTGAGACTATTTTGTACATTCTTGTTGTTGAGTTCGTCCTTCGTAATGCTGGCTCTGAGAAGCTCTTGCTTCATTTGCAGAATTGATGCCTCCTGAGTGCACAGCCTCTGCTGCTGGGCGTCCTGCACATTTACAAACCCACAGAAAGTCAATACCTTAGGGAGCGACTTTCTTACAACACAACTAGAACTACATTCAACTGAGCAATACGACAATTAACAGCAGATCTGGCTTCGACTTACCTTGACTCCCTGCAGGTTTCTCATCTCCTGCTTACAGCGCAAAAGTTCCCGCTAAAGTAAACAGCAAACAACACACTCTGAATTAAATATTAATTACAGTGTGCATTACAGGAGTTAATTCTCTCAGTAATAAGATAAGTGTGTCTGTTGGTCTGACAAAAGAATATAGGGACAACACATTCAAATTATTTACCTTCAGCCCCTGAGCCTCCTCCATACTCTGATCTAAACGACTGCGAATGACTACCTGCAAAGAGAAAGAAAAAAGGGATATGTGTGTGAACCACAATGGTCTGAGTAGGAAGGGAAACTGATACCCGTGTCACCCTCTGACATACACATAAGCATGCACACACACACAAACTCAGAGTTAAGGAAAAGAAACGTGATCTGCACTGAACACAAAGAGCCGGTGAAACAGAGTGAAGGAGAGTGTGACACAGAAAAGACAAAGATCAGACAGAGAAGGACAGAAAAAGGGATGAGAAGCTAAAAATAAAAGGAGACAATCACTACCAGTTGCTGCTCAGTGTTGCCTTGGTCCAAACTCAGAGACACATCCTGCTCATCCTCAGGCAGCGAACCATGCAACAGCAGGGCCTTAAAAACACAAAGGGTATAACAACATGTGACACCAGTTTGTACTTTGGACCAGTTAATGCTGGTAGGTTGTCTGATGTGTGTAGTGAAGGGGTGTGTGCTTGATGTGTAATAAGAACAGCATTTAAATAGCTCATTAGTAAATAGCACCTGAGAAATTACTACTAGACTACTAACATGAGCAAAACTAGGTCAGTCAGTGACTCTTAATGTCTGTATTAATATTTTTTGGTTTGGTTTTTACCAGCTCTACATCCAATATCTTAAAAAAAAAAAAACAACTGTGACATATATCACGCTATAATCAAATACAGACTATGCACTGAAACTTTAATTTGGAAGTCAACAAAAACACATTCTGACTGCTTAACAAAAGGTTAGCACTGAATTTATACACAGAGTATCACCAGAATCAATCTCAAACTTCGATATGCATGTACCTGTAAAGCAGACACCATTTTACGTGTGTCCTGCACCTCCTTCTCCAAAGTTTCACTGAGAGAATCCTCCCACGCCGTCTCCGATGCAACATGAGATGAATCGGCTACATGCACACAGACGTACACAATTTAGCAGTTACACATGTCCAACAATAAATCATGAGGTTTACTGATCAAAGAAAAACTGAGTGAACTCACCACTGATCTCTTGTTGTTGGTAGCCTTCCTGCTGTCTGTCTGAGTGGCTGCTGGGTGCAGCTCTAGGAGGTGACAGTGGACTGACGGAGCTGAGGCTCGTGGAGGATAAAACGCTGATTAATCAATTAATTCCAGAGAAGAATGGGGTTGTGTGCATGTAAACACTTACTAGCAAAAAAAAAAACTTGCAAATATAGTATATTATGTGCTACTGCTTTGACCAGCTGGGTGACATTTTAATTTGTTGTAATATATTTGTAGTAATAATGCAGTACACCTATATAAATGTTTAAGTAATAAAAGTAAAACTGTCACTCTGAAGCCCTGTCAGCGGTCCGAGTAGTGATAGGAAACAAAGACATTCATGAAATTCAGAGATTCCGACTGTTTTCATTAACAATGATTTAATGGAAGCTGTTAAACACACACTGTGTCTTCGACAACCCTTTCCAACAAGTTCCTTTTGTTAATATTCTGACTCATAAGAGAGAAAAGCAGACAGACAGGATAAAACAACACATGAGAATGACACATAGGTTCCCAAATCCTAATATGCCAAAAGATGCCATTAATCCTCACATGCCTTTTGCAAATCAAAGCACGATGCATGCAGACGCTACACTTAATCTAGTCTCTTTTCACGTTACATTGTAGTAGAATTGTTAAGGTAAAATAAGCATAAACTCACACACACTTGCACAAGTGTCCACACAAACCCACACTGCCTCACAGTGTCTGGTCTTACCATTTAATCTGCGTTCCCCCCATAGTGGGTTACAGGTGGTCTTAAACTGTGCTTAATACTTCCAAGGAGCCTAAGTTCCACCCTGCATGTGGGTCTGTGGCATCAGCATCTCTACAAACTCATGACAGTGTGTGATTCTCCTCACTCCGCCCCTCGCCCTCCAGCTAGTTGACATGGGAACCAACGCAGCAGACACTGCTCAGAATCTCTCACTAAAATAATAAACTACATATGTGATGACAGCCTCGGGTCGTTGCAGCGCTGTTGAATCTCTGTCTCTCGAAACAAAACTACTCCACTGTTCTACAAATAATCAACGTATGCACTTTTCTTTCGATCATTATAATCAGGTACACACACATCTGTGCTCATATTAAAACCCATACAAACAATGATGGTGAAAAAGAACACCACAGAGCATAACTTCAAACAGGACATGTGATTTGAGAGGATAAGGACTGATTATTTCTTTTTTTATATCATCTGCCTGTGTTTTGCCCACTACTACCACACACACACACACACACACACACACACACACACACGGCAGGGCAGTTTGGAGTACTAAAACCGAAGTCATATGCTCTGTCAGGCAGTCTAATACACACACATACACACACACAAATAAACCACAGAATGTAGTCTACTGTTCCCAAAGTGTGGTGTTAAAGATGGAAGATAACAGATAACTTACATAAAATTAACAACCGGCAAAAGTATACAGTATAAATAGCAACAAACTGAGTTTCACAGTGTGATGTAACTGAGCAAAAATACTTTTTTTTATACCACTTGGCTACTGAAGTGCAGTCACCTCGTTCATGAATTTAGGCCAGCAAAGTCAAGAAGCTTTTAATCCCATTATCTATTATCACAATCCTGCATTATTTAAAAGGAGACAATCTCACAACATGATCCAGCCCATACTAAGTGTCTGTGACAGATTTTATTAATGCTTTTGTGAAAATTAGCCCAATCCTTGTCCTTCAGCAGACAGGCTGCTACTTTTACATGTTACAGTTTACAGGTGTTTTTCCTTCTGAAGTTATGATGTTTAACTGAATCAGATCTGCCTTTTATATTACATTTAGACTGCACAGAAAAGGGCACAAAAGTTACTAAATTAAATTATTCACTGCATCAATATTTAATTATTATGACAAACTTGAGTTTATGTAAAAGCAGATTACCTGCTAGGCTGGGGGTTGTCCTGCTCATCCGGAGATCGTCTTTCATACTGCTCAACCAGTGCACGAACACACACACTCTTTTCCCCATCCAACCCCCAGCCACTGAAAGGCCGCAGATAAAGCAGAGGTTATTTATTTATAAATAAGAACTGCTGTAGACTTTTAATAACAAATATACAGAGACAAGCCCCTTTTTAAGCAGTTGTAAGGATGGTAATTTGGAGTTTGTCCACCAGAGCACAGCAAAGACTACAAACTCATCTAACAAACGACTGCTGTGGCAGATAACGGTTGCTATATAACGATATTATAGAAAGATGTTGACAGGGGGTTTATGTCTGTATTTATGATTATCGGGGCCAGCATACCTGTGAATACGGGTGGCATGTGCAGGCTGAGAGGCATCATGTCGTGCTGATGCGAGCGCAGCAGCTGCACCTTGTGCTAATGCAACAGCGGAGAGAGGGTTGTGGTTGGCAGAGCCTCTTGCCAAACCCCTCCCACTTCCAGAAGCAGCCCTGTGGTTGGCTGAGGGCTTGAAGTGGGCAGCCAGCGCCAGAATTATCCTCATTACAGATTTCAGATTACCATCGACAATGTCTGAAGACAGAAAGGGAACATATGTCCATCAATAATGAGTTAATGTACAGTATTTGCAACACACGGTAACATGGGATGCCAAGATAGCAGCTTTATAACAGAAACCATCACATGTGGACTGTAGATTGTGGAAATAAGTATACAATGGAAACTTATATGTGCTTTAGAGGTTAGAGGTTGATTACAACAATGGGTCAGCAACCAGAAAAGGTTAGGGACACCTGCTCTTGAAACAAAGAGAGAGAGAAAATACAGACTCCTCGGTGATTTACCTCTTGCGGTTATGTGTGGCATCCGTATGTGTCTGGAGGAAATGAACTGCAAAACTTGCTCCACATTCTTTCTGCTTTCCTCTTTGTTTTGTGGAGCATCATGCACTCCCTCCAGCACTTCCCCAGCTGACAATTTGAATGAGGTTTCAGAGAGAGACAGAAAAATCAAAACCATATTACATTTAAAACTTTTATAGCAGTGCGGTATTATTTCCCAAGATCAATGAATCTACAAAGAATGGTAGAACAATATAATCTGCTCCAAATTAATTGAAAATATCTGCTTACTGCAGGAATGAAAAGGCCCCATTAAAATGGTAAAGGGGGTAAAACACCAACATTTCTTTGTTCTTATCCTTCCTCCACTATTACTACACCATGTGAGCCATTTGTGTGTAAGTGTGCATGTGTGTATTTACCAACTATCTCTATTAGTTGCGTGAGCACGACCCCATCCTGCAGATCATGCCTGAGGTCCGTAATAGGCTTCAGGCCTGGCTTCCTCTTCAGCTGAGAGTTCACCCAGGAAACATAGGCTACCAGCTGCTGCTGCAATCCATCAAACAGATACACACAAATCCAACAAACCACAGACAAACACAAACAAAAACACACAGCTTAGAGAGGGGGCCAAAGAAGGCTGAGAACATAACAAATGAGTTCCTTTGTTTATTATGCTGGGACAACAGAGGGGGGTTAGCAGGGGCGGTCTATTGTCCCACTGCCTATTCAATTTTACTTTTATTGTGAAGGCCAATCATATTACTTCGTGTTCAGTTCAGGGTTACATGGTTCAGCCTCCCTCCGCCGTACTTCTCACGGTTACTCCACCTTTACCGGTCCCGTTCAGTCACGTGACTCCCCCGTCGTCCGGGTTACGTGACAAAGAACGCACCACGGTTTCGAACACAGTACACCGCACTTACCGCCGCGGTGCCGTGTCCGCGTACGGCTTCTTAAATGTCACATGAAAACCATTAACGTTACTAGCTAGGGTTAACGCCAGGTATGTAGTGGGTGCAGAGCTGCAATTGTATTGTTTTGCTCATATTAAGTTCATTTTAACGTTAACGTTAAGTTGGTTGGGCACACTGCAGAAGTTAGTTATTCCTACCTCACGTTACGGCACTTTGTTTGCACGCCTGTTAGAGGGTTTGCAAATGTCACGTTAACTGGCTTCCGCTTGCTAAATTATAGCAAAGCTAACGTGAACTCAGTAAACACGAAGACTAGTAACGCTAAGTAAAGGTTGACGTTACCTCATTAAAGCCCCCGTGAAGAACCTCATCCAGCAAACTTCCTCTCGAAAGTGAGGCGATCATCTTTTAACTCGAAAACCCATTGAAGCCAGCTAGTCGGCTAGCTTCAATGACTCTCACACGACTCGCCTGCAACAACGACCAGACCCCCGTTACTAACTACCGCTGTACTCCAGCAAACGTCAACAAACCGAGACAATTGAGGGATCGGAAGAGACGGCTACCGTTACTCGGGCTGGGAGACCGGTGTCAAGTCACCGCGCTAACATGCAGGGCTTCCGGTTGTAGGTTTCAGAATAAAACACCTGCATTTGACACTTCCGGAATTCATCAGCTTCTGCAGCTGATAAACAAGCGCTGGTGATAAACAAGCCTATGTCACACAGTGGGGATTAAAGTTTTAGTCTTATAAATGTAGCATAAATGCATACGTGAAAATTCACCACTAGGAATGTGTTTGGTTCATATAACTAACCATATATATATATTTTTTCCCATTAAAAAGAAAATCATTATAGGTTTTCAGCCACAATCTGTTAACATTATGTAAACAAAAATGTTTCCCCAAACACCAAAGTCGACCTAAAATCTACAGGATATATAATTTATAATATCAGACCGCAGCTAATTTTGTAATGTGATTTATGTAATGCCTGTAAACATTAGTTAAAGAGAGACTATACTGTATGGGAGTATATGTACCACAAGAATGGAATTAAATCATTGGGATTATGTGAAGGTGTAACACATAAAGTTCACTTAAAACTACCCACAAAGACTATTTCACTAAGTAATTTATATTATTTTAACCTGATGTAATATAATATATTAAATTTACTCCTGCATATTCATTGGTGAACATTTGACATAGTCATACCAGCCATGAAACTGACATACCGTATTAGAGAGGCCAAACATTTTAAATATACATGCAGGGATAGTTTGTCCTTAACAACCTAAATAATATTTACTGACGGTTAAACAAGAAAACTGTTCATGACTTCATGTCATTTTAACTCAAATTCAATAATTTTCTTAAATAACAAGCAGCATTTTTGTTAATGAAACACCTGCAGTTCATTCATATCAAATATTATAATAATAATAATAATATGCAACATTTCAACTTCAATTCATAACTAATGTAAGCAAACAAACATCATCACTGCAATCTTTGCCTTTTCACTAGGTCAGCTTTGGAACCAAATATGTTAGCTAAAAACATGAAGAGGTTATTGTTCATCACTGAACCTTTAAAAAACCATTTTCATGGCCTTATAACAAATACAGTACTTCCATTCTTAATTAGTAAGTTTATTACATAATGCGTTATTACACCAGGTTTCCCAGAACATTCTTGGTCTCTTTTCCAGCTATGTCTCTCAATAGATACAGGACTGGGAGAGAGCAGTACTAAGTACAACAAATAATTGGTGTCATTTTATTCTGGCTGTAAGGCTAAGGTTGTGGGGCCTGTAGGACTGAAGGTGCTTGGGAAGTCTCTCTCAATCTGGGTGGACAGATGCAAATGCTGACTGGAAGTGGATTGTGATGACTGGGCCGAGACTGTCCTTTCCATGGCGTTGAGATCCAGGATGTGACCTGTGGAAACAGTGCAAGATGTAAGAATAATGTAACAAGTCATACATTTATAGCTGAGAAGCTGCTTTTCTGACAAAAGAGTAGAGAATAGTCAATTTAAAGAGAAATTATCTGAAAAAATTCTGATAATTGATTAATCATTTAAGTAATTTTAGAAGCAAAAAGTTATGCTAATTCATTAGTTCCAGATTATGAATATATGCTGGTTTTCTTAGTATTCCATGATAGTAAATTGAATATTTTGGACAAAACAAGCAATGTGAAGACGTCACCTTAAATTAGATATGGTGGATGTCTTCGATGGGTTTGGCGTGATAGTGTAAAATTCTATATTGTAACAAAAAAGACAATTTCTGAAGAAATTGCAGGAGTGAATGCTGACCGTTGAAAAGCTGATGCTAAACTGAATTTCTGGCTTTAAAATCGTATGAGGGATGAGGCATATTTGAAGATTTCTTGGAAAGCTGAAGCTAAACTGAAAAGCAGGCTTTAAAAGTTGAATCATATTACTCATCTGTAAAATGTGAAATATCTAACAGTAAATTGAGTACTTGGAGTATTCTAGTTGGAAAAGAGCCTAATTACTATGAATGGGATTGAAACATTAAATATATCTCATAAAGTTTGAATGTAGTTTGTAGTTGTAAAAGTGTGAAAGAGATGGGATGATGCAAAATGTAGCGTAAACTCAAAGATGAATTGTATTACTTTACTAATGGCTGGGAGCTGACCTGCTGGATTTAATTAGTATCAACTGAAAAAGTATTCTAGTTAGAAAAGTGAGTGTGTAATTACTGTGAATGGGACTGAGTAGTTAAGTAGATGTCATAATGTTGAGTTTAAGGCTTGAAAAATGTTTTTAAAAATGAAAATGTCTAAATTCTCTGATCTTTTTTGGTGTCCCTATTCACATGGGACTAGTATTATTAGGGGACCTCATGTGATTTGTAATACATAGGCAGGATGTCTGTGTTCTTAATCCCATGCAAATCTGCTATGTCTGTAAGTAAAAATTGCACCACAAATTACCCACCATATTTCGCCAAACACAGAGGTAACAATCGATAACATTAGTCTCGTGCGAATCAGGATCTGTGTGCTTTGGTTGTATTATTTATTTTTGCAAGTTATCAAGCTCTTATTTACCAATTCGCAAAGTGGCCTGATCCAGTATGTTGAAGTAAGGG